CATCACAGAGATAAATTTCACATCCCCACCCCGGCACTAACATAATATTCAAACCAACAGCTCTGACTTGTGACAGTTCAAATCTTGTATATTCACTTTTCTGCCAAGAATGTTATATGAAATAGTCTAGATTGTTAGAATAACTCCACAAACTGAATTGCGTAGAATTAAATTCTAGCACACCTACAAATTCACAATGGAATATTTTATCACTTCCATTCCGTTTCTGGGTGTACTGCTACATCAAAATAATAACAACATCTCCACTAGACTATAAACTAAACCAACAAATGGCTATTACTATCTAAATTTCAATAGTTGCCACCCCACCAACCGAAAACAATCAATAATCTACGGGCAGTGTTTAGGCATAAAAATCTGCTCAGAAAATGAAGATTACACTAAGAAAAAAACACATGGGACAGCAATTTAGTTACTTTCTTAATAGGAATTACCCACTTAAGATTATCAAAAATCAATCGCTAAGGCTTCTAAACAAAGTAGAAATACTCTTTTAACCTATGAAACAAAAAGAATAATTCCAGAATTCTTATGTTTTTTTGAATTATTTTAATTACAATCTTCACAAGCTGTGCTATATCTCAATAAAATATTTCCAGTATTTAAACCTCGACCAAAGAATGAGATAGATATTCAACGAGAACCGATGCAACGCTAGGCGTCAGTTGCCCGTTCCCAACCAACGGACACTTTTAACATCATCTGGCATCCATCACCAAGGGAATATCACCTGCAATAAACTCCGAGGCCAAGTCTGTAGACATATCATCACTGATAGAAATTTCACATCTCCACCCCGGTAATCGCACAATATTCAAACCACCGGCTCTTGACGGTTCAAATTTGATATATTTACTTTTCTGTCACAAATGAAAAAAAAGGGAATTATGTTGGAGAAACATGCACAGAATCCCATCATCGGTTCAATAACCATAAAAGAACATCAAAGACAACAACAATGTTGCTATCGCTGCACACTTCAACCAACCATTCCATAGCATTAATGACATTAGATGCGTGCTTTTAGCGTCTTCGATTAACAGCCGACAAGAAAGATTCAGATCTGAGTTAAAATATATTTTCAAAATAAAATCATACATTAAAGAATTAGAAAAGGATTTTGGTTTCCACAGAGAGCCTTCTAACCAACAATGACATTCCTTGGAATAGTAGGTCCGACATTATTCTTTATTCCTGGTCTCGTTGAAAAAGGACACAGGGGTGTCCCAGAATTACGACTTTAAAATCTTCCTCTCTGTATTTTAAATGCAGTCAAAAGGATAATATATAATAAATATCATCAATCCTATTGGCAATATTGTTATCTTTCTGTTCTCTTGTTATTTCTCAAATTTTATTAACCAGCCTATTAAATCTACTTATATATATATATATATATATATATATATATATATATATATATATAATTATCATTATTATTGTTGTTGTTATTGTTGTTATTCCCATCATAAATAAGATAAAACTGTCTGTTGAGGAATCTGGGGGCAAATTCTTCAGATGCCTGACGGGCAGTATCACTGTTGTAGCAAAAAAAAAATTCACAATAAAGAGTTTTGAACTGCCTCATTCTGGTGAGAAGTCTTTTTACGTGGCCACACTAGTGATTTAGATTATTTGAAGAAGACAGAAACATTATAATTCTTTCATATTCTTGAAAAGATATATTAAATTATTTTCCAATAGGATAAACCGCCATTCCTTCGGTGTCTAGTGAGACGACGACACCTGAAAAATTAATTAATTTTAAGGTTTGCTATCGTATTAACAATTTGGAAAGAAAGCTTCAAATGAATAAGGAATATTTGTTTGCATTGCAGTTTTGCTATATCTCGGTTGGGAATTTTATTCTCCGGAATCAAAATTAAATCATACTTTTGTGTAATAAAACATTTTTGTCCTATATCTTTCTTTCTTGTTCGTTCTTTTTTAAGCAAATGGAAGTGTACAGTAAATAATATTTACTGCAATTTTATATCGTAAAAATCTTTACTGTAATACATATATATACATAGGTATAAAGGTAAAAGACAATAGGACTGTATTATTAGCCGACGCGTTTCGTACAATGTGGACTTTTTCAAGGCAAAAACGAAATAAATTTATTGAAAATAAGTAACTATTAACAACAAAATGTCCTTAGCTTCTAAAAGAATTTATAAAACGCTATTGTATTCATAATTTTCAGTTATCTATATAAACTGCGTTTCAAATTATTAACGAGGTGACATTTTTTTTTCATTTTGTCCAAAAACTACCTGTCGGAATTTAACGAGATTTTAACACTATATATATATATATATATATATATATATATATATATATATATATATATATGCGCAGGCTGTATAAAAACTGTATTGTTCTGCGCAAGAGGAAACTAACGGTGGCCATTTGCATTATTAACACGCTATAGAAGTGTTCCAGACTATGAACGGTTTCATTAAAATCATGCAATTATGGTTCGTAAATGTGACTTGACCCCTTCTGAGAAAGATATTATAACATCTGAATTTTCCAAAGGCAAATTTACATTATAAATAACCAAAATAATTGGAAGATATCCCCAAACTATGAAAAGATTTGTTGCAGCTTCTACGAAGGTACATAAGATGGCCGATAAGTGTCACTCAGCGTTCTTTGTTGCGAATGAAACGTGAAGCTGTAAATAACCCAGGACTGACCAGGCATGATTTTTTAGGGGCACTGAAGAAGCAACATTGCCCAGAAGTACTCTTTATCGTCTTCTGAAAAAGTTCGGGACATCAGTGAGACCAGTGACAAAGCGTCGATTGATACATGCGTTTGAAATGGGCAAAGGAGAACATGAAGGTCAATTTCTCGAAAGTTCTGTTCACACATAAAAGTCAGGCAACAATTGATGACTCTGATGCTTGGAACAAAGTTTGGGTGGAAAATAGAGGAAATCGTCTTCAACACTTGACACACCAACAAGGAGGAAGAGGTATGATTTGGGCTGGTATTATTGGAGGTATAATGGTTGGTCCGTCGAGAGTGCCTGACGATACGAAAATAACCACCGATGCTTATATAATTTTCCTCAAAAATCACCTGAAATCTTGGCTCAAAAAGCAAAGAATCACATTCAGGGGAACCATTGTATTTATGCAAGATAATGCTCCTTGGCATTCAGCGCATAAAACTACGGAGTACCTGCAGAAATTAGGCTTCTCTGGACCTTGGAAGATGAACTTGCTGGTCAATTCTTGAACGGAGTACCTTCAGAAATTAGGCTTCTGTGGACCTTGGAAGATGAACTTGTTGGTCAATTCTCGAACGGAGTACCTGCAGAAATTAGGCTTCTGTGGAAGATGAACTTGCTGGTCAATTCTCGAGACTTAAACCCAATTAAAAACTTGTGGAGCATTCTGAAGCGATGTGTTTATGAGACTTGACGCCAATTTAGAAGCAAGGGTAACTTATGGCAGGAAATTTTCGACGTATCACGTGAAATTATATTAGAGGAGATCCAGAAATTGACACCCCGCATAAACGGGATCGAGTCGGTCTACCTCCTCGGCATAGCCTCGTCTGGGTTCCTGTCTGCCCGAAGGCAGAGAATTCGACCGCATAGCTGAAAAGATTCCAGATAGTATATTTGCCAAGCGTCCCACGCGTTCGGATGTGGTATAAGGCCGAATTAATCGTGGGATATTCGAGCCCGTAGACTCTGGCATAAATTCACCGCAGACCCCGTAAAAACGGGTTCGGGTCGGTCTACCACCCCAAACGAGACTCTGCCCTTCGGCATAGCCTCGTCTGGGTTCCTCTCTGCCCGAAGGCGGAGAGTTCAACCGTATAGCTGAAAAGATTTTAGCTACAATATTTGCCAACCGCCCCACGAGGTCAGATGCAGCACAAGGCCGAATTTATCGAGGGGTATCCGACACTGTAGGCTTGGGCAAAAATTCTCCGTAGACCCTGTAAAACACGGGATTGGGTAGCTGTCTACCACCCCAAACGAGACTCTGCCCTTCGGCATAGCCTTGTCTGTGTTCCTTCCTTGATGATACTTTCAAAAAATTTCCCGGTGATACCGAGAAGTTCGATGAGACGTTAATGAAATGGGGTTGAGCGCTCATCCACATTCTTTTAAAAGGAGCAGGCAACTAACAGCTTCCTTAGAACTGGGCAACATTTCTCCTTCAGGCAGTGATTAACCAATTTCGCCAAGATTGTAACTAAGTTTGGTATAGTATTCTCTAACAAATATAAGAATTTTATCCAGTACAGCAGCATTGGTTGTGTCGTTTTATAAGTCTGGAAACTTCCAGAGCTGATATAGATATTGCAAAGTTTGCGTTTAGTGAGAGCTGAGGTTATGTTTTAGGTTGGCTCTTGTCATCAAACATCGAGTTAGAGACAACATTCATTGTAAAAACCTGACGATGATGACATAATTCCAGATCCATTTATAATGAAAGACACTTGCGCTTTGCTTCTATTAAGAATCTTTTTTGTAATTTTTCAGAACGCATGCAAACAAGTTCTTTTGTGTTCGACTTTGCAAATAACTGCAGTTAGTGTTTTACAAGACTTTCTTGCACTGATTACGAGCATTTCTGAATGCAGTACAGGTTCTGTTACATCGAAGGAAGACATGGTAGTATTGGGCACGTTGATCTATGGCCACAGCATTAACCAAGGCTGACTTTTGTTGGCACATTTTCTGGGGGATCAAAAAGTACATTACAGAAAGAATTCATTCAGAAATTAAGTAAATTGTTTTAGAAATTCTATTTCTTAAGAATGGTGAGAGAGGAGCATCAGCAATTTTAAATTATCCCAACCAGTTTTGGTGCATCAGTAGATTTTCCTATGAAATGGAACATCAGAGTCAGCTTTGGGTTGGTTAATGTCCAACTATATTGAAAACACCAGTCGCATTATCATCGATCTGGTTCAGTTTGTATTCGATAGAGAATTTATGAGATTTTACCATGTTCATCGGTTATATTCGAATGGACTAAGCATTCCTTATGGTGAATATTGAAATTACTATAAATATGAATGATGGATGAGAAGTGATCACAGAAATATATATTGTATGTGTATATACATGTGTAACCGTTCAAAAACTTCACAGATATTACAGCGAACCTCGTCATGTGTTCTGGAAAGTGACCGTTTGACTCTAGCCAGAACGTACAAACACTACCCTGGTCCTAGGTGGAAGCGCTTATCCATACACAAATAATCCCGTTATTCTTTTATGGATATCATGCTATTATCTTTATAAAGCCAAAAGTTTTAATAGATTTTGCTTTCACGGGCCAACTAAACTCATAATCGATAGTTTCTAATGCGGCAACTGTAAAGAAGTGAGCAAACGGTATAGCTAAAGTAATATTTTCTGATTCTATAGGTTGGTCAACGCTGCCACCCACACGGTTAAATGGAAGCCAATTTGTAAATCTCGAAAGATTATGAATGGGTTCTAAAAATAAGGGCGTTTTATTCAAATAAATTTTATATCTTTCTCACAGCAAACACTTTGGGGATGTTAACCATACCAGCTTGTCGTCCAAAATTTACGCCAATATTTAAGTAATTTAACATTTGCGTTGGTTAGATTTTCTTCCTTTTTTTTAATCATTTCATTCCAAGCAAGGAAATAAAGTCACTAAGACGCAAGGAGTTACTGAATGTGAAAGAATATAAAAAAAGACACTGGACAATTTATATTTAACGTTTCACCAGAAACCAAAACATGTTCTTAAATATAGACAAAAATGAAAAATCTGTAATTAACAAAGATATTTCGATGTCTTTAACCAAAAGTGTATAAATAAATAATTCCTGACAAATCCACTTAATATTTTCTTTAATCCTTTCACCCCAAGCAAAGCAATAAAGCCACTGAGACGGTAGCGGTTACTGAGTATGAAAGTATAAGTGAAAAATCATTATTAAGGAGAACGAACAATAAAAGAATTAAGTAGGCAGAAATTAATGTTTGACATTATATTTAATTTTTTTGAAGATCAAAGTTGACTAGAAAGTATGAAATCTGGAAAGAGTTCCACATGCAAGAAGTGCGAGAAAAGAAACTGTTAGGATATAGATTACGGTTACATTTAGCCATTTCAAATATAAGATGTTGAGACCGAGCTGCCAATTTAGTACTGCGCTTAAATTCCTAAAGTCGAGGATCTGCATAGGAAATTCCATCAAAAAATGTTCCACGAACATATTTATAGAAAATGCACATAAAAACTGCATTAGAGCGGCGGAAAAGTATCTGAATCCGAGATGTAAGGTCAGGACCAACAGCATTGCAGATTCTTCTTTGGATTTTATCTAGAATCTCTAAATACACTATAGAAGTTCTTGAACAGATATAAAACAGCAATATTCAATGCATGAAAGAATCGTAGACTTCTGTTTGAGCAATTTAGGATTTTCGCCTAAATAATTAATTCTGCTGTCGCATTTAAGAAAGAAGTTTAGATAAAATGACATAGGAGACAGGAGATTTTATGATATTTTGGATATGCTTAATATCAAGATTAAAAGTGGGTGTGTACGTGTACAGTAAGAGACGTCGACGGAAGAAGTAGAATCAGTAAGCTGAGTTCTAATTCCGGTCTGGTCTATTGCGTTCACTTTCGCAGAAAGAATCCGTTTCTTCGTTCCCTACCCACCCCCACCAGCTTCAGGTTAAATAGAAAGGTGAAATGGTCTCTTTATCATTAGGTAGAAACCAGTCTACGAGAAGGAAAACAGGATAAAAAAAACCTTCAATAGCTTTAACACAAATGCAGGACAGTTCAAACATAATAACAAAAAAGAAACCCAAGATTTCTGATCACCTCTATCTGGAAAGGATATGTTATAAAAAAGAAAAAAAGGAATCCTTTCTCATATGCGTCAATAAACCTTAATTCTAAACATACACCCTTGTGCAAATTAATTGAAACAACTGCTTTAGTTTTATTTCTTTCACCATACGGTCAGTTTTACACCCACTAGAGTGACAGGATGTAATCAATTTCTGTTTTTTCCTCAGATTAAGTCATTTGCAGTGGTGTACAGTAATATGAATCTATTTTCGCGGTGCATGATGAAATTTGTTTGGCCTTGAAAAATATTGCATCAGATGTTTATCACACTCCGACACTATTGACTCGACTGTCGATTAGTTGTCCTACGGTCAATGTCTGCGATGGACGTTACTCCAAGGAAGCATACAAAAATCGTAACGCTTCACGAACACACTGGCAAACTTTATAAGTGAGCAACTATAGACTGTCCCGGAAACTCTCTTGATTTAAATCCAATCAAGAATCTATTGTCAAGCTACAAGGAACGACTTAGTGGAATGGACACACGAAGTACTAATATGTTCACTGGGTCATGTATCATTGGGAAAATAGGGAAAAAAGTAGATGATAACGGAATTAATTGTTTTGTTTCAATTGATTTACACAAGGGTGTAATCATAGATTACGGGTGTTAAACGTGTAACCAATGCAAGTACCAGTCCGTGCTTCGAATATAACTGCCACATCACGTGTGAGGCTTCTATTATATATTTAGAAATTATAAAAAAATATCCAGAGAATCTGCAAGATTGTCGGTTCTGACCTGGTGTCTCGGCTTCACTCACTTTCCTATTACCGTAACGTAGCTTCCCGGTGCCTTTTCTATAAACATTTTCACGGTAAATATTTTGATGAGCTTTCCACTTTAGTGCCTCAACATTTATGAATTTAAGTGCGATACTAGATTGGCAGTTAGGTATAACCCTTTCACAGTTGAAATTGCTAGTTGTAGCCGTAAGTTCTATTCTATAGTGTGAAACTTTCTTCCGGCTTCCTGCTTTCCAATCAACTTTGATATTCAATTGTCATTTTCTGTTATTGTACTCTTTGTTTCTTAGTAAAAGAAACCCTTGCATAATAATGTTTCTTTTTTTTTATTATTATTGTCTTTCTTGGAGTAGAATCATTTTAAGAAATTGGACAGTACAGGGTGTATTAGTTTTCTTTACACTATTTACATTATTCGGACTATTGTTTGTATAAAGTAGCTGTTCGTGGGAAGAAACATTTTGAGTGGAATTTACATCTTACAGTGGAATATAAAGGAATGAGGTTGATTTACTACGATGTGCGTTGCATGGCATGTCTTACCCTAAAGGTTAGGACTGCTGCAAATAAGGAATGTTACACGTTTGAATACTTTCCCCTAAAGATAGTGAAACTATAATAGATAAAGCATAATGACTATGGATAATAAAATAAATTCTACTAGGTGATAAAGAATGTTGCTTGTGTTTTTTTTTGTTTTTTTTTAATTTTAGTTCATGTTACTGTTCGAAATATTAAAGTGATATGTTTTTGTCTATATTTCTGAGATGCCGTATTATTTACACTATTTACATTATTCGAACTATTGCCCTCATCTTTGTCGCCATATTTATTACAACGTTTCGTACGCTCCGGCCTTCTTCAGGTGGTTGGAGTGTCGAACTGAACCCTTTATTTCGCTCATTGGGTTAGACTGTTCAAGTTCCACGTGCCATGTTTAATGGATGCCAGCTATAAGTTATCTCCTGTTAATTCCCCACTGCCTTAACAGGATATTGAACTCACACTCTTTGGGTCCTGTCACTGGATCTAACTAACGTCCACTGTGCCATGTATCCTTGAGGAAGAAGGCCAGAGCGTACAACGGCCGAAACATTGTAATAAATATGGCGACAAATGTGAGGACAATAGTCCGAATAATGTAAATAGTGAGCATAATACCTCATCTCAGAAATATAGACACCTTTCTTTATATTTCATTAATTTTAATGATTTAAAACGCAGATCGCATAGATGCTGACCACTAGGAGAGCAACTCTTTGCGTCTTCTTGGTTTCACTTTTCCAATTGACATGAAGTGGCATCATTATATTGAATCAATTATTAAGTCCCACTGCTCGTAAAGTTGGTTCACATTTTTTCTCGCCTGAATCCATCTTAGATATTTATAAATCTACGATGCATTCTATTCCTATCTATCTATCTATCTATATATATATATATATATATATATATATATATATATATATATATATATATCTTCTCAGTCTGTTCTTATCTATTTTTTCTTAGTCGGCTCATATCTATCTCTTCTCAGTCTATTATGTTTCTATCTCTTTTCAGCCTCTTTCTTTCTATCTATCTATCTATCTATCTATCTATCTATCTATCTATCTATCTATCTCATCTCAGTCTGTTCCTATCTATCTATCTACCTATATATTTATCCTTACTCTGTTCCTGTCTATCTGCCTAACACTTCCCAATCTGTTCTTAATTATCTATTTTCTTCTCACTCTGTTCCTATCTATCTATCTATCTATCTATCTATCTGTTCATATATATATCTATCTATCTCTTCTCAGTCTGGTCTTATCTATTTCTTCTCAGTTTGTTCACATCTCTCTCTTTTCAGCCTCTTCCTATCTCTTTTCAGCCTCTTTCTATTTAGCTATCTATCTATTTATCAAATCTATCTATCTATCTATCTATCTATCTATCTATCTATCTCTTTTCAACGTCTTTCTATCTATCTATCTATCTATCTATCTATCTATCTATCTATCTATCTATCTATCTATCTCTTCTCAGTCTGTTCCTATCTATCTACCTATCTATTTATCCTTACTCTGGTCCTATCTATCTGCCTAACACTTCCCAATCTGTTCTTATTTATCTATCTTCTATCTCTTCTCACTATGTTCCTATCTATCTATCTATCTATCTATCTATCTATCTATCTATCTATCTATCTCAGTCTGTTCATATCTATATATCTATCTATCTCAGTCTGTTCATATCTATATATCTATCTCTTCTCAGTCTGTTCTTATCTATTTCTCAGTTTGTTCACATCTATCTATCTATCTATCTATCTATCTCTTTTCAGCCTCTTCCTATCTAATGTCTATTCTCCGTCTGTTCCTACCAATCTATCTATCTATCTCTGTGCTTTATCTACGTGAGTGGAGAATATTGGTCTATTTTATGAGCAAATCAAATAAAAACGGCAGCCCAAATGAATTTCTGCTGGAAAATTTCACGTAATTTATTTTTCGATGCGCAAATGTATTTTACACACGCATTTCTGAACAACAAAAAAAATAGAATCTCGAATTGATGCAGACGTTTGCTAAGTCGTTCGAAGCTGGTCGATAAGTCCCTCGGATAATGTTCACTGAGACTTTTGTACGGATATCAGATAATAGATATCCGAAATTTATTCACCCCCTCCCTCCCTCTCTCTCTCTCTCTCTCTCTCTCTCTCTCTATGTTTGCATGTGTGGGGGTAATTGTTCACATACAGCAGGATCTGATCATATGAATAAATGTAGTCTATATATATGTGTGTGTGTGTGTATCTGTGTCTGTGTATATATATATATATATATATATATATATATATATATATATATATATATATATGGGGTTAATTCACTCATACTGAAAGCATAATTCGATACGCATCTTACAGGTGTTCACGTAAACATGGTTGAGTTTAGAAACTCTTTCTAAATGAAAGAAAAAGAGCTAAAAAATGATACACGATTGTCATCTCCAAAGCAACTATTATTAAAAGCGATTCAAAGCTTAGCAAAACTAGTCACGCAGATTTTCTAAGAAATTATTGTCGTTTCCAGAAAATATAATGTCACTTCCGACTTTTTCTATTTTAAGTTCCAAAATTTACCTATAATTCCATTCGATTATGCACAAAGATTTCTTCCCACTGAAAGCATTGTAATAAATCCATATTATATGACTACTTGCATTTGTCTTGAATTAATTAATCAGTTTCAAAGTCATGCAAAGTTTTCAGCTGTTTAATAACAGAATGATATAAAAGTTATGGCCTAGATAAGTAACTATGCCGATAAATTCCAGTATTGGAGATTAAGGGATGAAGTTTTCTTTCGAGAGCAACACTTGCTTTTGCATAGCAAACGTTTTAGCATTTCATTATATGACACGCACACATATCCACTTAATGATAGAAAACAAGATGAATTGATACATTCAGGAATCACACATGCTTACCTCCCCTTAGCAAAGATAGATAGATAGATAGATAGATAGATAGATAGATAGATAGATAGATAGATAGATAGATAGAGGCTGAAAAGAGATAGAAACATAACAGACTGAGAAGAGATAGATATGAACAGACTATAATTCACTAAATTGCTACCTCTCAATTAGTAACTGACTATTTATCTCACATTTTGAAGTATAATCTTCGATCAATGGGGTTAATATTCCATGCGAAACCAAGTGTCTTGACAAGGAAGGAGATCACGTCAAAAAATAAATATTTTCAATTCCTTTTCATTACTAAGTGACTTTTTAATGTATATACGTATCTTTGCATAGACATTGATATAATACATAAATTTCAAGTGAATGACATGAATCAATATCGAACTATTGATAGAATTTAATGAAATATCGATTACTAATTAATAGGCAAATTTTCTATTATCTGTTTTGACATTCTTTCTTTAAATATATCGTTGAGCAAAAGATTCTTCTGTTATCAGAAAGGTCCCAATTATTGTTAACCCTTCTGATTCCTCCAAGACTTATTAGGTCATAACCTTACCTTTTTAATCATTTCACTCCAAGAAAGGGTTTGGAGCCACTAAGACTTTAAAATTATTAAGGAGAGAGAAAAATAAAAGAAAGATAACGATAGACATTGTATTTAAATTTCTGAAGATTTTATTTCCATTGTAGGGGGGTTTCAATCCAAAACTTCTTGAAGGGCAAAAATCCTTGTTTCTTTTGGCGACCGAGTTTTTCTTTCCAACGATGTATTTCTCAAATTCTTCTTTATCAGTGAAATCAAAACACTATAATTTAAGCAATAGTTATTTTTTTCCCTGTGTTCCTCCTTTCTTGTGCGTATTGAAAGGTACTTGAGCATTAGCTTCATAAATTCTAAGTCTTCTTTTTTTTTCATCCAGCAATTGATCCAACGCTCTTATGACATTAATATTATTTAGACCAAAGGCGGAGTTTCCTTTTAGTGATTCGAACCATGTTTAAAAGATCTGAAAAAAGAAATGAAAAGGAAATGAACCGCTGGTGGATTTAGTTTCCTGTTGTAATAAAGTTTATGTCCTGGGTTTATTAAATATATAATTTTGTATTGTCTGTTTTGAAATGACAGAAAATCATCTACAGTCAGTCTGAAGTTATTATTCAAAAACCATGAACCTCAATAATTCGAAGTTGCTTTGAAAAACATTTGCAATTTTTAAAACGATTAATTTAGATGTAAAGACTAGAGTAAAAGTTTTCACTAGTTTTAAATGTGTGTAATTAGCGTTATTAGATTTATCATGAAAGCAAATTTGAGTTATTGAGCTTTAGGTGACATGCGTAATAAAAACAGACGTTAGGAATCGAACCTGTATCCTATACGGAACCGTCATATCATCATCATCTTGCGGCCTCAGCCGAGATTGAACTCACTACACCTTTCCAGTATTCCTTATCTGTCATAGCTAATACTTTGATTGGTGTAGTTCATAATCTTGTCAAATAGCTGAATTCTTGATGCTTCGCTAGGGCTATCAAGGGTGTTTTTTATCGTGACACCATCACTAAATGGATTGCCAACCAAGGCTCAGAGAGACTCCATTCACCATCATCTAAGATCTTTGAAGGGACGAATACAGAGACCTGGTGCACCGAATGCCACAAGGTTCCCAAACGACCCTCCGCAGGTTTTCAATTCAGAGTTCCTAGACAAGTTGCCATCCAAGGCTATAGAACCCAGTCTGTCCTGCTATTTTACCAATAGCTGGAGGGAGAGGAAGAGGAGGATTCACACCTTTCCCAAGGGTATTAGCACGTAAGTAAATGTAATGGATTCGACTGAAATTCGAAGTCGGCTCTCCGATTCCTCAATCCAAGCCGCTATCCATTACTCCACCGTGCCTCCTCGTCATATAGCTTGATGTGCTTTTACCGATTGGGCCACAGACGTCACACATTATGAGATGGATTTTTCCATTTCATAATATTTTAATATGTTTATTATAAATAATTTAAGACGTTTATTATAAACAGAGCATTTACTTAAATATAATAAAATTATTTAATATCTATAAAAAAGGATGTATAAGCATAAAAATGTCTTAAAAATAATTATCGGACTTTGTCCACTTTATAATGTGTGACGTCATTTGTTTACATTTGGATACGCATCGAGCAGATTTGAATGTACGTGAGAAAATCATTGAAAATTATAGTTTAAAAACAGTAAAATCGACTTTGTTGACTGAAACGCTCCTCTGTGGCGCAATCGATAAAAGCACGTCAGGCTATATGGCGGTTCCGTATAGGATACAGGTTCGATTCCTGTCGGAGGAAACATATTTTCTATGACAATCTCTCGGACATTCAGGCCGGTAAATGTTGTTAATAGTGTTCATTATAAACAGAGAATTTACTTAAATATTTGCATCTATAAAAAAAATTGTATAAACATAAAAATGTCTTAATATATTATTATTAAAATGTACAAACACTAAAACTACATGAAGTAATAATTTATTTCATTAGGGTGGCAAAACGGTCCCAATTCATCAGACCTTCAAATGCAAAAGCTCTTTGGGATTTGAAGGTCTTATGAATTGGGACTGTTTTTAAGATCTAAATAAATAAATTATTGCCTCATAAAATTTAACTGTTTGTGCCTTTTCTAATAATAATTATTGCTCTGTTTCTAATTTCCTTTTGGAAATATCCATACTGATCATTAAGATTATCATCGTTTCCCTTTCTCTCTGCCGTGCCACGATACGGGTAGAATCTCTGACTGATGCCAAATCGGTCGGGTTTCGCTCTCGGCTTGAAGCAATCGGACATCTAGCCACATTGAAGAGCTGTGATACAGCGAAACAGTCTGTCTGTCGATGATAATATATATATATATATATATATATATATATATATATATATATATATATATATATATATAATTGGTATATCCACCAAGCAAGCCAGTAGAGAAGTATGTTTCTCGGTTTGGCTAGGGAGACAAATGGGAAAGTCCACGATCTGGGTAAGGGATTGGGCAATGGAAAAATTTAATGTCTGTATACTGGCAACATCTGTACCTATGTCCCGTTATGTGTCGTGATGGGCATTAAAGTCACTGAAGACAAAGATGTTCGCAGATGGACGGAGAGAAAGTGCCTTTTCTATACTGTCAGCTATTGCTTTCTAATATACTGCAGGCACGGGAAGAGGAGGAGTGATAAGGGAAACAGTGATAGTTGACTGAGTTTAGTAGCGAAAGATGGAAGCACATGAAAGAGTAGTCAACGATCTCGAGAGACAATTCTTTGGCTATCGGCAGATTATCCCGGATGTAAACACCAAGGCAACGTACGGCAATTTTTCGGCAAAGCGGAAGATACCCTGGAACCAAGAATTCATTGGTAGTAATGGAAGAATTCAAGTTAGTTTCACAAAGAGCGTAATGTAGCCTCAGGATTGCCCACCAGAAATACATGCAAGGACACCTATCCTTGCGCTACATGGCACTACAGATACCTCGATATTATGCAACTGATGATTGGAGTAGCCTCTCTAAGCGCTATCAAAGAGTTCGGGCTCCTAACTTCCAGTCGGAAGCAGAAAACTGCCAAACCCGGTACCCTCATAATGAAAAGTAACAACTACTGGATAGTCTGATCACCAAAAACTTAAAACGTTTAAATCATTCAGGCCCTGGTAAGAGAAAGAAAGATATGGAACTGGTAAACTATATCCTGAACAAGGAACAAGGGATGAACCTCTACTCCTGTTCAATAGACATGGAATGGGTGCGGACTTGACGCTACATGAACCTATCTACAACCATTAAGCTGTATAAAAAAAGGGATAAAATTCATATTAAAAGTAGCGACTTGTATAATTTCTACAACCAACTAAAAGCAAATATAATTATTTA